TTATCTCAACCCATGAGTTTTCTCACTTTTACCCTTCCGATTCTCTCCCCCCTCCCACCGGGAGGGAGGGAGCGAGCGGCTGGGTGGGGCTGGGGTTAAACCACGACAGAGACTTAAGCTGGCAGTTTTGCAAACAGATGTGTCACTAATCCTGTAAGATGTTCAGCGCCCTGAAAGACCTTTGATTTCTGAGCACCTTCCTTCCCCGGGAGCAGAGGCGCGGGGAAGAAGAGGGGGAAGAGGAAGGGATACACGGCGGTGCTGGCCCAGTAGGTGATGCAGAGACACAGCAGGAAGAAGGTGCACAATGGGAACAGCAGCGACATCATGATGTGACCAACAGCCCTGCCGAGAAGATGGTTAAAACCCGGTTAAAATCCTCGTGGCGACGGGAGGACCTCGACGGCTGGAGCTCGGCCGTCCCCGAGTCCTCCCACCGCGACGGGGGACAACCTCTGCCTGGGGACGGGGGACCCCCGGACCTGCTGGCCTCCTTGATGAGCGCGATGGCAATGAGGATCCTCTTGCGGAGGAAGATGAGCAGCAGTATGATCACCACCTCCACGATGCACAGGATGATCACTGGGAGGAGAAGGGGAGCCCCCGGTAGCGCGAGGGCACGGACAGCGCCCGATGGCCACCATCCACCTTTGCCTTCCCAAGCGGATCCGTCGCGGCACCGAACGCTCCTCAGGGGACGTCCAGCACCGCGGTTCACGTGGAAAAGCAGCCCCGTCCGTAAGCTCAGTCCCGTGGCGGAGGTGGCGTCAAGCAAAGCCACCCTCCTTAGCTCAACCCTTTTTGCAAAGGGCCATGAAGAGACCGAGAAGACCCCAAACCTCCATGCTCTCCCCTTCCCAAGCCCTGTCCCTCAAAGGGACCGGGGCTGGGGCGCATCCACCGTGTCCCATCCCGCACCCAGAGGAGGATGGAGACTTACTGAATGCCAGCCACGTCTGCCGCAGGTGGAGGTAGACGCGTAGGTCTGTCTGAAATCCCAGGTCCTTCAGGGAGACGTCAGAACCCGCTTCCCCTTTCAGTTTTGCATATTCCATGTAACAGTGGAAGATTCCTGCGGTGAAAAGCAGAAAACTGTCGTATTTGCACTGAAAAGCGGAGACCGAGATGCCGGCAGCCTCTGCTCAACCCCACCGATGCCGATGTTCAGGTAGAAGACACCTGGAAGGATGCTGTGCGTGAACTTTCTTCGTGCAAAGCCCACTTAAGATAGGGAAAGGAAAACGGGGAAAGCAGGGAGAAGCTCCCGACCGCTCGCTCACCGTAGCCCAGCACCAGGATCACCATCACGATCATCACCCAGACCATGATCCCGGCCAGGAAGCGGAGCAGGACGATGAAGATGAAGCTAGCCACCATCGCGATCACGAGGCCTCTGCGGGAGGAAGGCAGCGACACGTCGAACACCAGGCGATGCCATCCCCTCCCCACCGCTTCCCTCCATCGGTCAGCTTCCCCTCTCTCCTTTCTCAAGCTTTAACGACGGGGCAGCCTTAAAAATGGGAATCACTGATGGCGGAGGGGACGGAGCGTGAGCAGGGTCTGAGTAACGTTGCTCCAAAACCCCCTCCGCCATCCCTCGTTTTGTTTGAATGGAAATTATGCAAAGGCCGGGGGACGGGGGGGAAATGTTGGTAATTCGTGAGTTCTGCCCCATGTTTGAGCGCGGCGCGAAGCCCATGGCCGGCACGGCAAGAGCCATCAGCCCTCGCGGGCTCCGGTCCAGCTGCCCGCGGGAAGGGACGGCCGTAACACGTAGCTCGGCCCCTGCTCACATTATTATCCAGTACCAGGAAACCGTGTAATCTTCAAAGATCTTCATGGCCAGTTGTCTGGTTTCCAGGACCACGTTTGCTTTTCTGGAATACAAAAAATAAAACACGAATGAAGCGGAAGCCGGGGGAAAGAAGCTGAGGAGCCTCAGCCTGGGCTCGGCCCCAGCCGGGCTCTGCCCGCGCCCGCTGCCTGTACTCGCGCTGCCTCAACGGCCCCTTGTCCTCCCCCGCCAAACGGCCCTCTGCCAGACTCCCTGAAAACAAGAAAATCCAACGAGGCCGAGGCCGATTTCCTGGCACTGTTTTCTTTCAAGCTGACCCTGCTGCTTCCCCTTTGTCGTCGTCCCCCCCCCGGCCTTCCAGCTCCCGTTTCAAACACGGGATATGGGTTTCGCTGCAGGATTTCTTGCAAACGCAGGACCGGGGCTCCGTGCCGGGGCTTTCAAGGCTTTTCCGCAATATAAATCGGTAAACGAACACGGTGCAGAAACGCCGGCAGATAAAAATCAAACGTTTCTCTGCCGGGTGAAGCAGCAATAACGAAGCCAGCTCATCAAGAGGCTCCCCCGGGTACGGTCGCGTACCCGCCGTGTTGCTGTTATCACCGCAAGCGCTCGCTCTCGGGGTCGCCCCGGCAAAGATGAAGCGACCGGCGAAGCGCGGTGCCTGCCCGGCGCAAAGGCTGGGGACTCACTTGGCCCCTTCCAGCAGCTCGGTGACGTTCCTCCGGCGCCCGTGGCCGTCGTCGTAGGTGGTTTCGTTGCCGACCATGATGACACCCTTCTTGGCCCGGATGGCCGGGAAGCATCGCCGCGCCACTGGGCGAGAGGAGGGGGAAAACTCAGCGCCGCAAACCTCAGCCGCTTTTGTCCAACCCCCCCCCCACCCCCGCGGGACCCCCACCCCCGGGGAAACGAGCCAAAACCCCCTCCCCGTGGTCACAAACCTACGCCGGATCCCCAGAAACCCCAAACAGGAGCCTTGACCCCTCCCAAAATATCCCGACGGCCAGCCAGCGACGTGGCCGCTTCCCCTGACGTCGCGAGCAAGCGGGCTCGTTAATCGGCTCATCGCAGCTCGTTAGCCCCCCCCGGACGTACGTGGGGTGCTGGGGATAATCATGGCCGGGCACTCCTTGTCCTTCAGCACCTTGATGGGAGCCTGGATGGGGACAGACGAGCCAGACGTTAACGCTTTGGGCAGGAATTACCGCGCCGGGGAACGCCGGCGTCGCCGGGGCTGGCGGGGGAACGCCGCTGCCGCGCTCCCTGCAACCCACCTTCTGCAGGTTTTTGAACTCGGGGATGCAGAAGTGCCGGTAGTACTCCAGCTCGCCGGGCGTGCGGGAGCTGTAGGCGTTCAGGTACGTCAGGTACCGGTCCGGGCATTTGCTGACGCAGATCTGGACGGGAGAAGAGGACACGGCGAGGCCGCGCGTGAAGGCGTCAGCCCCCTCCACGGGGACACCGCAAACCGGAGCTTTCCCGAGGAGAAGCAGAGCGTCGGGGAGCCGGGCTCGGCGCAGCACCCCCGGGCCGGGAGCGGTCCCTGCGTGGTCGGGCACTGAAACTCCAGCAGCACCAGCGGGCTGGCACACTTCACGATGTCGAAGTAAAAGAGGAAAGGTTTCTTCCTGCAAAGCAAACCAGGAAAAAAACAAACCGAAAACAACCCCAGCTCGGGGAACCGCCTGCCCTGGGAGAGGCGATGGGAAGCACCCGCATCCCCGCGCCCAGGGGAAGGGGGAGGGTCCCAAAAATCCCCCCCCCCAAAAAAACAGGAGCTGCAAGGCAAG